CTAATGCAAACACTGCTCCTCCATCTTCAAAATTAATACAATCCATCGATGATATCTAATCTCCAATAGTCCACACATCCACAATTTCATGAGTCTCCAATGAGAATCCATACACTGTTGATTATGATCCTGCACAAAATACCAATTTGTCGTCACTGTCTGGTCTCTCCAATATACACAATGCCTACAAGGTTCCACTCAATTGAATGATATAATTGATCCTATTTGCTCTTAATTTATTCACAAATGAATTGCTAGAGTGTTCTTGTTTCTGTTGTAAAAAGATCTCCACTACATCTCCTTCTGTTGAAGCCACCAATAATTTATCACCTGCCACCACTATGTCACTTATAACATAACTAAACAATTTGAAACTAAATGCTGTCAAATCTATATTCTTTATATTATTCTTGAATTTGAAATCCCACAAATGGATAGTACTGGCATCCGTCCCAATTATTATCCCAAATTGATAACTGGTTATGCACACTATCTGATCCTTATATGTGGTCATCAAATCCATCCTCTCAAAGTTCTCCCACAAAATCACCGCTCCATTCTAATGTCCTGATATTATCACTATGGCTTCTCCCTCCTCAGCCTGATAAGCCTTTAAATAGGGATCTCTAGAATATATTCTTAGAGCAGTTGCACAAGTTAGAGGTGATGTCAAATTATATTCCTCCAACTGAATTTCTTTAGTTAAAAAATGTCCATCGTAATATTGAAATTGAATAATCTGGTAAATTGTACACACCACAAAAGAGTTCTCGTACTTCTTGAATGGATTCAATAAACTCTGTTGATTTATTTATTGCTATCGATATTGAGCACCTCCAAATGATCCAATAAAGTTCTTTATGGTCAATAAATCCACTGCAAATTCATTCACCTATGTTGATAGCACCAATGTGAAATCCTTAATATTATAAATCAAAATGGGAGAAGCCACTCTTATTCCACATGATGCTAACAACTCATCATTACCAAAGAAGGTCAACAAATGAACACCCTTCTAATGAACACCCTTTATCACTCCAATATTATGCAATGTATTGTTATCCCATATGTGAATAGCTGGTTACTCAGCGTATTCTCCACTGGCCATCAGACTCAGATTATTGGCCACTGCCACACTTATCACTTCACTCTCGTGTTCTAAATAATGGCGTTGCTCATTTATTTTTGGGTAATACACTATTATTATACAGGCTGTAAAGAATATCATCTTCTCATTTAATGCCGTATCAGTGTTAGATTGCATCTTTATATAGAGCAATGGCCTCTTCACGTCCTTGCCTCTAAATCCATAAACCCAATTCATTTTAGCATAGACGTCTTTCTAAAATACTTGTGGCTAAGGAGCATACACCTTTTTAGCCAAACTGCTTATCCATTAGATCTTTGAATGGTATGCCTTGGATGATAAAATTGACCTAAGAATACTTACTCATTTATACCCAAGACCTCTCTGATCAAAGTAGGGACGCTTGGAATCTGGCAATAAGAGTTTTTTACCAAACTCCTTGCTGAACACTTATCTTAGAACATCTATCTTCTGGCTGAGCTACTCTGTCTAGGCTGTTACTTTTAATTCTGGAGCTTCCTTCTTGATTAATTAGAGGAATTGTCGAATTTCGTCCGTCTTCACACACCATTTCAAAAACTAACTTATGTTTACTCTTTGATTGTCCGAAAAAAAATTACTTAAGAAATCCGAGATTTCTTCCTCATTTACCTCATTATTTATTTGCATTATTTTGAAGGTTGCATTTGCACATGACAACAACATAAAATCCAAATCAATCTTGATTTATCACATAATTCTTACTAAACTCAAAGAATTCAATTCATTGAAATCAAATAGATCAAATAAAAATCGCGCCTTTTCCTCGAAATTACTCTCTGCAAATATGATCAAACCTGAAAACAATTCCAATGCATTGATCAATCTACACATATTCATAACTATAATACCCATTGTTATCTGTATCCCATATTTAAAACATTGTCTCATTGCTTCCGAATATCTATTCGAACTCTGTCAAATCTATACTAAATGTATCGCAAACAGATTGAAAAGACCCATGATACTCACGTAATTTTGATATTGAGTTATTAAGTAATGGATTTGATTAGGGAGGTTATGCATTTTGTAAATGCCCTAAAAACTATCCCATTTTTTATTAATTATTAATTTATAATTATATACAATCAGAACCTTAATAACAATCAACATTACCAATTTCGCAATGCTATTCTAAAGTAACTCCCTCCCAGATTAATATTACCCTTGAAAATCCAGATTTATATGACATTCTATAAGCTTTAACTTTTATTCATAATCTATAATACTAAGTAAATTAAGCAAATTTAATCACGCAATTTTTTCAATCATAAAATTATTTTATAAAAATGAATAAATCTTATTGTTCTTCACATGAATAAGAGGAATAAAAGTATATTTGTGTCCATCCTACTTGTCTTCAAAAGGCAGATAATAAGCTGTGTTGTAGTTGTTGTTTCCAATAAAATCATAGAGAAAAAAAGGCTGAATAACATAAAATTATAACATTGTCTGAACTTGAGAAAACAGCTCATGCAAATTATACAAGCTTGAAAGAACATCTGCTCAACGAAGTTAAGAAGAACTCAGAATTACATGCATAGATAGAAGAACAATTATCAGCTATTCTACTTTCTCTAACTAATTGGTAAAATAATCAAAAAAAAATGTTCAATGATATCACTGAAAATTCCAGCTAGGTCTTAGCTCAAAATATATAAAAGGCTGAAAATCTAATAGAAAATCCGTCATTAGATACATTTATTTATTTTTATAAGTTCAATTTACAAGACAAATAGAATGAAATGTAAGATATTAGGGACTAATCAACGAGATAACTAAATTATTAATTAAATTAAATTGAAATGAAGAGGGATATATTGATAAATTAAAAAAATTTTATTGAAAGAGAACATTTTCTGAAATTTGCTTAAATGGATTACTAAATAGAAGTAGATAATCTAAATAACTTTTAATTTGAATAGTGTGAGTTACATTTAAGTTAAAAGGAGTTATTATGTACCCATCTCAAATGTTTAGAGAAAGATCCATTAAAATTAGAGTGCTCGCTCTGTATTTTACAAGATCACAAAGAACATCAATAAGATAATTATATTAAAACTCTTGCCATAGTAATGAAAGAATAAACAGAAAAAAGAGAACTAATTGAATAATTAACGAAGAAAATTTAATAAAGATATTAACAAATCAATTAAGACGAATTTATAAAAAATTGATAAAAACCAAAACAATTCTTATGAGAGTTATGAATAATAAAAAGAATCAGCAGTTTTTCTTAGGATAACAATAATTAAGTTGCATTTTAAAACCTGAAATTCCTAACTATATTTTTGGTCATCTTGATTAAAACCTACTTACAAAAACTAAAGAATAAATTAATTTTAGTTATGATTAGTTTTATTAAAACTTTGAAAGTAAATTTTCTAAAATCTTTTCTGATTAAGTCATTGATGTACTAAACTATTGTACTGAATTAGATTTCAATTCATAAAGAACCAATTAATACATCATTAATTTAGAAAAGGAACTTGAAATGCAAAAACAAAAAGTTGAGGAACAAGAAATAATAATTTAATCTAATACGCTTAACCATTCAAAAATTAAATAGTAATTAAACACTCAAAATGATACAATTACTAATTTTCTTTAAAAACTGGAAAAAGAAATTTCTAATTTATAATCCCTAAATTTAGTAAAATCAGATTTGGAAAATAAAAAAGTTTAAGATTTATAAAATAGTTTTTAAGCATCAATTGATAATTTTTAATCCTTAACTTTTAAAAATTCAGAATAATAAAATACTTAAATTAACAATTTATAAAATAGTCTTTAATCATCAATTGATAAATTGTAATCAATCACTTAAAAAAATTCAGAATAGTAAAATTAGAATTTTAAAGATATTTCTTAATAAAAGACTTCTTAAATAAATTCTGTGTCTAAAATTTAAATTTGGTTTTTCATAATTGTGATTTGTTTCTTATATTATCTTCGAAATGAACTAGATAGCATAGTTAAACTGAATTAAGAGTAATTACATGATCTAAATGTATTGAGATTTGAGTGTTATAAACGACCTTGAATAAAATTAAACGCAAAGCTGAATACAATTATAAAAATTATAAAATTATATATATATCATACTATTTAAATTACCAAATTACAGTATTTTATATATAAAATTTTATAAGTGATAAAACAACTCAGTAAATTAATAAAAAATTAAAGTTATCCCAAATCAGAATTTTTGGTTCTATCTTTTCTACGAAATTCCAATCAAATATCTCCGATTTTGACAAGAATCAATCCTCAAGGCTTAGCAAATGCATCTTTTTGACCAAACATTTGATTGATTAATATTTTCTAAAGAATTGATGACTATTTCAAGTTCCTTTCAAAAATTAAGCTAACTGGATTAAAATGTCTTTATGTTTAAATATATATATCTAAGAATTAAAATGATGAATTGATTAAAATAACTATTTATATATTTAGAGAATAAATCTAATGAATTAGGACTCATCAATTGATAAATTATTATTAAATCAATTTTGATATCAATCATTTCTGCAAGCTCTAATAATAATTGAAGTCTGTGTCTATTCATTATTTTTTCTCACTTTTGTATTCAGCATTTAATCTTTAAAATTTTTAATCAGAAATAAATTATTGCATAGAAGTCAGAAGCAATACTGATCAGATGTATATTGTGTAATTCCTTAATACAGATAAGAAAACACTAAGTATAGGCAACACTAAAAGAATCTCTACAATTAGCATATAAATTTTTCTTTTTGTGTATTCAGCCTTCAATTTTAGATAATTATGATATATAATTAATTTAATTGTCATTATCTTTAACGATAAGCTTAATTGAGGATTTGAATAATTTTTGATGTTAAAATTTTGTCATACATCCTTTATTGAAAATGTTAATTAATTGATGTAATTGGATATATGATCAAGAATTCTATATTCAATAAGAATTAAAAATAAACTATTTGCAATAAATGAGTATTTTAATTAAATAATAAACTTTAATTATTATTTGCTAATTAATCAACCAATTAAATCTTATCACAAATATTCATCCAGAATATTTAAAAATGTGCGAAGATTTGAACGGTCTGAGAATTTTCTCAATTGTATATAGACGATGCAAGCAAATATATATATATAAATGTTTATATTTAAGGCTAATCAGTCAAACTGATGTAATTCAACATTATCTCTTTGGTCATTTAAAAATCGATTGTTATTTTCGAAGGAGAAAGAGCGTTTTATTTATCGACTCTCTCTATTGAGAAAGGGGTTGTTGGAAAGATTGAATTCTTTGTTTTCGATAACCTGCTGCTTTCTCTCAAGGGTGATTTCTTCATTAGAATCAGGAGAAATATCGCTTTAAATTGCAAAACTAATTTAATATAAATGCTGCACTTGGCAAATCTTTATAGTTTTAAGAGTGGGTCTGTTTTCATTTAAAGACCTAGGCCTTTCAAATATTGTACTATTTCTCGCTCTTTTTTCAATACATTTTTTTTCTGTGAATCTTTGCACTAATATAATTGAAGAAATTCTTCTAAACTGTCCTTAGAATTCAAGGAAACATAAGAAAGCATTATTATTTGATGTAAAATTTATTAGTAAGTGATTATAGACTAATTTAAATTTTATGTAATATATATACTAGACAATAATAAAATTAATTTTCAAATCTGTTATTATTATTAGGCAAAACTCAGATCTTAAGATATTTCATCAACTTTCTTCCTCAAAACAATCAATGCCTACATAATAAATGGATATTTACTTTTTAAACGATATCAGCAGCTTTTAATTAGCCAGCACTCTCAACAGTGAAAATGTATTTATTTTTTTTATGTTGCATTTTAATCAATCTGGGTTTCTTCATGGATTCAGCCTATTTAATAAATATATATAATTACACATCGGATACATTCTTCGCAGAACACACACTTTTCAATGGCATTGACAATAAGGTCTTAATTAGCATCCATAGCAAAGACATTCATGGGACAAGAATCTCTGATTGACTGTTTTTCAAATAAGGACAAGGATTGTGTTTAGGAATGATCAAAATTGAGTTCTACATATAATAAATTTTTAAATATACCCGCTTCATGTCTGAATGTTGCAATGTTGATGGGAGTCCATTTAGCATGCATTTTGCCAAAACCTTTGAGTGCATGACAGCGTACATGAACAGATTGATTCTTTCCTAGTCTTGTAATAGGGATGCCCACTTCCTTGCCATTGATTGGCGAAAACATTCTGACAGGTCTAATTGCCATTTCACCCACTTATCCAAATTCAGGTTCAAGGTGTTGACTAGTGATTTCCAAAGGAGCATCATTCAGATTTTTTTATCTTAAGGTAAAGACCACTTTTGTTTTTTGATCATCTAATGGAATCTGCATCAGCTTCCCAATCATACATTTTGCTGTCAGCAGCATATGAAACGAGAGGTATCAAACCAAGTCTTTAGGCAAGGAATTCATCTGACAGGGGACTTGTGTTTTCAATAATATCAACAAAATGAATTGCCATGACCTAATATTTTAGTCCAAAATTTTACAGGGACTTCTGCAATCATAACTCTTCGGATGGCATTTGCAATGGACAAATCGCCTTCAAAGCTGAATTTGCACTTCTCATCACTCAACTCCAAGATTTCTATACGATGTTGAGAGTTTTGTTCGAAGTTGTACTTGTACATTAATTATAATTATTTATTAAAATATATTTAATATATACCATATTTAATCACTCATTTTCTCGCAATTATAAGTACTTCCTTTTGTGAATCCATAAGCATATGAAATTCAACACACAATAAGCAAGTATGAAGGATCCAAACACATTTACACTAATGATTAAATACTGATTGGCAGTCCCTGGGATATTGGGTATACTCATCACTACTGTGAAGAAGTAGAAACTCCAACAGTAAATCCAGTTGCATATTTGTAGGACATTCTTGTTTTCAACATACTCAGATCCACAATAAGAGAAGGTCAGGACTTGGACAGCCGAGATTAGTAATCCTGACATAAAATTGAAGGTGTAAACCAAGCTATTCCTATTGTTGTTGATCTCATCTGCTTCACCAACAATCCTTAATTAATACAATCAATTTACAGATAATAAATAAGTGGCTGCTCCGAACAACTGCAAAACTATCAACAAATTCAAGTACCCATAGGAATATGATAGAAATCCAATCAGGATACCTCCTAAGAATTAACCAACCCCATGAATGCTGAGATTGGTAACTATGGCAGGTTTTAAATAGGAGACATTCGTATAGTTGGGTTCTATCATATCCTAAGAGTAAACGACACTAAAGGCAGTGAACATTCCGATGGATATGATGGTAGGGATCAAGTACACAAATTAAGGGTACTACTTTGGTATTTTCCAAATTAGTTTAAATTGAGTGATATATTCGTTATTATTTGCTTAATTCTTTTAATTGTCATCATCCATCAATGAACCATATAAATGCTCATTCAATTTCTATTACAAATCAATACTTTATTTGGTCACTGATTTCGACAATGAGTCTGGTTCTTTGATGAACCAATAAAGGAATGTTATGAGTAAGGATACTCCCAACATTGGATAATAGAAGTATTCATTGTAGTCGTAAATCTTCCCTTCGAATATGATCATAAATATCTCCTATAAAGTTTTGCATGCAGAATAAGGAGTAGGCTACTCCAAAGTAAATGCTAACATTGTTCTTATTGGACATGCTACGAACATAGTAATTGAATGCGCAATAGAAGATTGCCATAAAGGGGGCTAGACAAGCGCCTCGAATATCAAGATGGTTGTAATTAAGTACACGTCTTTGGGCTGCTGCTCAATCACGATGATGTACAAGGTCATACTAAAGATATTAGCTACACTGGTGATGAAAAATACTGCTCTGAATCAAATATTATTCGATACTTGTAGGTGAATTTTAGAATCATCCTCTAGAAGAATGGCAATGAAAAGGGGCCTATCAAAAAGATGAGGCTAAATATGCCCAATGACACTGAGTTTATTACTTTATCATCTAGTTTGAGAATGTTTGAGAAGAGCACTGTTCGGCATAATCCTATGGCTCCCAAATAGCAGACAGTGATCATGCATGTGCATGTAAGAGAACATAAATTATCTCTCTTTTCTGACATTATTAATATATATTATATATATTGGTGATGCTATTATTTAATACAATAAATAATTGATCTTTCTTTCTGACTGAATTAATTGACAGAGTATATCATAGCTCATTTTTAAATGCTTTTCCTTTTTTGGATGATCGAGTTCTCTTTAGATGAAAGAATGGGAACTTTTCGATGAGTATGAAATTAAGGTTCTAAACCCATCTAATGGGCATTACGTTTTTTCTCTGAGAGTAATTGTATTGGAACTTCTCTTTGAACGTAACTGCGTTTTTATTTTTCATATGCTATTTAATTGGCATCGTTAGAAATTTCATCAATGAAAACCTAATCAGCATCGAAATAAATAGATTTGATTTGTTAAACTGAAGATTTGTAACTGATATGTAATTCAGAAGTGGGCATGGTGTTTTTGTGATCCTAGGTTTTCCTTCTTGAAGTGCACATTCCCATGTTAGAATAAGAACGAGGGATTAGTAAAAAATTAATTTAATGTATTCATGTTTAATAATTGTACTCTCAAGTAATGGAATTCCAGGAGTATTCGATTGTTGCCCAAAATGAATGTTCTTTCCATTGAATACATACACTTTTTAATGCATTATCAAACTGCAGAAGTCTTGAATGAGACTCAAAAGTGCTGTATAAGACTTGGCAAAGTGAAAATCAAAAATAATATTAAATTATATTATGAATCAATAATACCAATCAGGTGATGTTGAAGTTCATGGGTTCTAATAACAACAGCCAAAAAAATATGTTTAAGTCGGCAGCTACTGCGATGTGTACTACGATGTGCAGAAAATCAGACAGTTTGAGGATGGAATTGAAATGATAGAATTAAATGATACATTGCATCAAGGCAAGGCTTCCCAAATGCGTTCATGTAGGCATCACATCTAAATTAAGATTACACCATGAAATGGATGGAATACTTGAGTGAACTTGAGATTGAGTTAAAAGCCATTCTCCTTGATAGAGCACTCTTTGTCCCTGACCTAAATCAATATTTCAATAAGCGTCTCTAGCCGATGATAGAAGTCGCTCTCGATAAATCGTATTGACCTTCTTTCTAACTAGTATTAATGATACCAGCAAATTAAAGATCTAATGTTACATCAATGAGATCCTGCTTCTAGTTCAAAGTGTGAGTATTAAGATATGGAAGGAACATCCTCAGATTTCACTTTCAATCCTAAAACGTTTGCACTCTATCCTAAGCAATTCTTTCTACGATAGCAAAATTCGGGACTTAAGCGCCTATATTGACACATTTAATGACTTCTACGGTGAACGCTTGCATCATGGTGTTAGAAGTGAACTTGAAGGCTCTGATAACATCCAATTCACAGAACTCTACAATTCCAAGACCTTTTATCCACTCAAGGGGGAGATCCTGGATTCCTATCGAATGAATCAAGATGTGTATTCGTTCTCCCCATTTCAAAGAGTCCAAATCCACTACTTCTACAAGAATGGAGGCTTCGCTCTCTTGGATGACGCCATTAGGAATTTCAATCTAAATAATTTGGATGTCTTCTCCATCTTCCAATATCTCAATACTTTTTTGGATAGGCAGAAGTTTTTGAATTATTTCCACCATTTTCGACTTTCAGTCTTTGACATCCAAATTGACAGAGGAAGAAATCAAGAATTCCAATCGAGACACAATCAAAAAGTTGACTGACGGAATCGAAAATATATTTGATCAATTCTACACTTCTGCTTAGAAGAAGGAATTGATTGCCTTGTCTGAAATGAGTGTGTATTTACAATGCTTCCGTTGCACAGCTTTGGAGAAGAGGATTTATGGTATCTAATCATTCAACTAATTTAAGGATTGCAACAATTTTGTGATAAGATCAATACTGCCTAATCCAACGAGTTTATGAGTCAACAACAATATTATATTAATGACGAATGGTATAAAAATGACAATGTGTTAAAATACATAGTGGACAATCAAGTATTCTAAGAGTTATTTGGAGAAAAAGCTCACTTCGAATTGATGAAGAGATCATTCCCAATCATTCAATTTCTGTACTTACATCAAAAATTAAGTAAAGATGAAATATTGAGCATACTCAGATTAGGAAAAGGTAAGCATGAAACATGGGATAATATGATTTCAAAATTGCTCACAGATTTGGCAGAAATCTTATCACTAGAGGACGTTGAAACGCTGATTCAAAATATAAAGTAGAGTTAGATAGATTAAAATGGACTCAATTTTATTAAGAGTTTGGGGAGAAACAAATATTTGCGATAGGATTTAGAAAACTAGAATAATAGAATGGGAAATAACAATAATAATGATAATTTTATAAAATAGAATGAGAGATCAAGTGGGAAAAGGAAGTATGAATAATTCGATACGGATTATAAAGAAATAGAATAAAATAAAAATGAAACCATAGAGCAATTTGATAATGACAGGGCTATATAATTGAAATCTCAAATTGTCGAATTCCTATTAAACATTGTTCACGAATAACCAAGCACTGAAATTGGTCAGTCAGCTTTCTAAATAGCTATCAATTTAATTTGTCATCAATTCAAATCACTCAGATAACAATATCTATTGCACGGATTTTCGAATTTGATTGCTTAAGAGCAACCATTACCAGTCTGTAATTACATCACTGTGTTATAAAAGATCATTTCATCATCTTATCCGTTAGCTGAATTTAATAATTCCAGGGATGTCTTGAAATGGATCCAAGACAAATACGATATTAAATTGAACTTTTTAAAAGTAATGGGAAGAGAAAAGTTGAAATTGATCAAAAGAGAAAGTAAGGATTACTTATAAACGATTGAACAATTTGTTAAATTCTACGAATTCCTTCATTAAGATTCAAAAATCACAAGAGCTTAGTTGATGATCTTATGGAAATTGTTGGTAGAAAATGCAAGATGTATAGAGGAGAAGGATCTATTTTTTAATTGGGTTGGAGATGTCAATAAGAAGTTCTTGGATCAAGAGGCCATAGAGTTATTGTTCATATCCACCATTAAAAGCTCCTCCCTAAGTCAGTAAATGTTGTAATGCTTGACTAATCTAATTCTATATTTCAATGTCTAATATAAGGTAATGAAGTTGCAGTATGATCAATATACAATTGTGGATGCAGACATTATTGGATTGCAAGTACTATGGAAGATCTTCAAGTAGCAAGTGTAATTGGGACCTTAATTGTAGCAATTCTTCATTAAGCTCTTGCGATTCAAATAGCAACAGACAATCCTAAATTAATTAAAATAACAATACTTAGTTTAACTGTTCAATTAAATTAATAATCCTAATTCTCTATCATTGATAGTCAAATTATTAGAAGAATTTGAAGGATACTAATTAATAGAATAAGGGGAAAAGGTGTTTGTGACGATTGATAATAAATGCATGGATGCCATGCCTCCAAAGAGATAAGATATTCAATTATTGAGTGGATTGCCAGTATTATAAGCAAAACAAATAATAGGATAGAAATTGAATCCATCTTTGAAGCCAGATGAATTCGATATTTTCTGTAGAGGAACTCTATTTGATGATAATAAAACACTCAAAGATTATAAGGTAAATTAGAAACTGACTTTTGTAATATCAAAAAGAGAGAACTTGGCAGATGAGATTAATGCTTATAATAATACTACCAATCAGATCTCTAATGAATACGTGCCAAACGATTCAGATGAGAGAGTCTAAGAGATTATCAATATAGTGTAAATACAAGACAGAGATTTCATAATTTCTGTGTTGAAGGAAAAGAATTGGCAAGTAGATAATGCTATATGCGATATTTTGGATCGTGGAGAACAATTGCTTTAGGAATACTAATAAAAGAATCCACAGGTTAAGAAACAGTAAAAGGCTGTGATGAAACAACAAACCGATGAGATCTCATTTGCTTCATTAATCTCAAATAATTACATCAATTAGTTATTCATACTACTTAATGAAGGGAACCATGAATAGAGTACTAAGGTTTGGTCTATCCTATAAATGATACCCAGGAATAAGGAAGTGTACGAGTTGATTGAGTAGTCGTAAACTGATTGGTGTAATCTCCTCATGGTAGATAACAAATACAAATTGTAATATCACTTGTAAATTCTAAAGGAATAATTGTAATGTGACTACATTGAAGATCAAGATGAATATGAAAAGAGAAAAGCATTACGAGAAAACTTCCTCTTTTAAGGTGGCCTAAAATTACTGTTGATCCAATTGGACAATCCAATTGAAATATTGACAATCATTCTAGATATCTTCTAAATCTACTTCTTGGCTTATTCAATGAGTAGATTGAGGATGATGAATTAGAATGAGTTCTTACAACTCTTAAGATTAAAACAGGCTGTCTAATAGAAGGACGAAGATCCTAAATTATGCAGTCTATTGAGTATATAACTATAGAAGTAAGAGAAACCCAACATACAAGGATACGACGAGGCTTAACTTCTCTAATAAGTGTTCTTTAATTCGGAATTGGAAGTAGAATGGAATGTATTGTTGGAATCTCTGACCCAAAGAATTGGAGTTGAATAGATATACACAAACATTCTATGCATCTTGTATATGAAACCTGAATTACTTAAACTTGAATTGCCCATCAACAGGTTGGTAGAATTGCTAAATAGTGCAAATGAGGAACAACGAAAATTGACAGCCTATTTCATACTGACGCTTCAAGATATTGGAAAGAGAAATGGAGTGAATCTCAGCAATGACATACTGAAGGCCTTAATCAAGGGAGAAACATAGTATGATGAATTATACCTGGTGATTGCCGGATTGATTGGTTAGGTGAATGATCTGACATTCTTTGACACTCATCAATTGGCTTAATAGATAATATCATTGATTTTAAATAGGCAAATTATGGAGTAAAGATTTACTGAAAATGAAGATAAGCTATTGCAAGGCAATTTGCTATTGTTGACTTCCTTGTTGCAGGTTGACAAAAACATTAAGGTAGACATTCAATTCACAAAATTCTTATACAAATGTCTATTTGAGATGAATAATGATTATTACATTTACCCTGTTTATAAACGCAAACTAACGAGAAAGAGAGTATTCCAATTTGTTATTGGAATTGTGTAAAGATGAGAATCATCTACACGAGATGTTACCTCTGATTCAAAACCATCATTAATTGAAATTCGATGTCAATGAGGTCGATATGGACTTGGGAGTCAAGGGTTCACATGGTTTTGTTGGATTACGTAATTTGGGAGCTACTTGTTATATCAATTCTCTGCTACAATAATTCTATATGAATATCCCCTTGCGTAAAGGCATCTTGAATGGGCAGATCATGATCACTGAAATGAAGGCTCCTCTCATCTTCGATAACATCAATGCTGTTGATTCACCAATTTTGCAACGTAAAATGGCAGATCATACTTTACACTAATTGTAGTTAGTATTCATTCAACTCCAAGAATCTGTGAAGCAGTACATCAATCCTCATTAATTGATTAAAACATTGAAGGGATATGATGGCGAAGTCATTAATGTCGTAATTTAATAGGATTGCAATGAATTTTTTAATTTAATCACTGATAAATTGGAATAGGACTAGAAATTCACTAATTAATCCAATTTAATACATTAAATTTTAGGTGGTACATTAGTTAATGAAATCAAATCATTAGAACCTGAGTATGATTTTAGGAGAGAAAATGAAGAACCCTTCTTGACTGTCTCTGTTGACATCAAACATAAGAAGTGTCTTGAAGAAGCATTAGATTTTGTTTGTCAAGGGGGATGTTCTTGATAGAGAAAATAAGTATTTTTGTGAAGAAGTGTAAAGAAAGATTGATGTCTAAAAGAGATAATACTTTAAAAAACTCCCCAATACTTTCATCTTCCATTTAAAGCGATTTGAATTTGATTACAATACAATGTTGAGGATTAAGATCAACGATTACTTTGAATTCCCTCAGAAGATCAATATGTTTAAGTGGACACGAGATCATATAGTAGAGAATATGGAAGTTGAAGATTAGAGTGATTCCATGTACATTCTCAAAGGAGTGTTGGTGCATGTTGGGAGTGCAGAAGGTGGACATTATTACTCGTATATTCGAGATGTTGATAAGTGGTATGAATTCAATGATAAGGTGATTTGTCCATTTTAGATTGAGAACCTCAAAACTGAATGTTTTGGAGGAGCCAACAACAACCTTTCAGAATGGGGAATGAGTAACAGTAAGAATGCATACATCTTATTCTACGAGAAGGTCAAGCATAATATTCCAGAACAGTTCTATTTAAAAGGTAGCAATGAGGAAATATTGATTCAACACGTAATTAGTGAGAATACTGAGTATTTGAAGAGTCAATTGTTTTGTGTTCAGGATTACTTGAAATTCATCTAAACATTTGCATCGACAATGTAGATCAAAACTCCCTATTAAGTGACTCACTAATTATCGAAGGAAAGCAATTTGAGTGAATTAGACAATCTTCCATCATTAAGAATGATTAAATTGCTAACTTTCTTCACTTATGAAGTCTTACTTCGAAACAAGGACTAATAGATGTTTTAATATAATATGTAGGTCTTGAGTGACTTGTACAAATAAGAACCAGCTGCTAATTTCTGGTTTTTAGATCTTTTAAGAAATCACAAATTGCTGATCATTGACTTATTGATCGAATCTTCATATTCAGATGTCAGAAATGCGTTTGCACAATTGATTATTCAATCGATCACCATAATCGTCGAATATGAACAACACTACTTATTTGAAGATTCGTGCATAGGTCGATTCCTTCAGTTCTACATATAATCACTTTTAAAGGTGGTGAAGAGTACTCTCAGGAGAGGAACAGAGTACTTCACAGTAATAAAGAATATTTTAACCAACAACCAGCTCTTGGTGAAGCACTTTTATTAGTAAGAATACTTCAAATAGGTTTATTAATTATTACAAGAAACAGTGACAGAAGCACATGTATATACATCATTTAAATTACAGTCATTGTAAACTAACAACACCGATTAGCCATTGATGGTGATCTGTGATATAATTACTAAAGTGATAATTAGTTGTAGGACCTAGAGTATGATTGAATTGAATGAGGATGCTCCGACTTACCAATTCAAAGGACAGAAGGAATTGGATATTGATTAGTTCTGGTTGAGCAGATTGTTGGATACTGATGATTTCAAGAAGTACATATTGGCTATGATTCAATTCCAGCCGAATTTGATTGATATGATCAAACATGTTTGTTGGAAGAATTCTAAAATCAGTTCTCAAATCATGACATTGATAGTAACCTAATTCTTAGATTTTCTAATTGAGTGGCAATACTTGGAACCTCTTTCTTAGACAGTTGAAGCCTTGTTAAAAATGGATGACAATTTGGTGGAATTGCGTTTCCAATGTTTATTGTGTGAACCCTTTAAGATCTTATCATGTGTAAAGGGTTCTTCGATAATGAATGCTATTGTGTCCAACTTTGATAAGGATAAGAATTATGGTTTTTGTATGATAGCAATACTTGCAAATTTGGCATCTCAAGTCAACTATGTTGGGGAGTACTTCAAGAAAAATAAGCAACAATTCGAAATATTGCTTTGGAAAGCTAGAGAGTATAAGAATATCAATTATGGCTTGTACTTCCCAGTCATGAAGATTTAAAAATCTATACAATAGGTAATTTGATTATCTTATATATATTTTAGTTATCTGCAATTTTCGAAGAACCTGAAAAACCAATAATTCAATTCTCCGATGAAAAATGTAATTAAATGGTTCAAGAAGAGCCTGAACCAGAAGATTCCAATCTTCAAGTGATTCATCTGATCCAACAGAATGAGATCAACTATACTTAGACTAAAGATGACTCAATGGACAATAACAACCCATCTGATAGAGAGAATCCATCTGATAGAGAGAATCCAACTGATTAATTATCAGAATGAATAATAATATATTAATTAAATGGCATCAGCATTCCCCAAATTACCAGGCTTTGTGCCCACTTAGGAGATCGATGTAACACTCACTTCATAATATTACTAGAAACCAAACTTTAGAAAGGTCTCATCAACCAAACAGGAACAAAATAGAGAAGTCAATCATCTGGCTAATAAAGAATATCCTGTACCTCGTAAATAACCAATTCAAATACCACCATAATCAGGAATGTTCAATCCTGATTATATGAGTACAACCCATGCAATGCATCTTCCCAAAGTAAAATAACAGTTACATCATAGAATGCCAACAATGATTCTGAAGAATTATACCAACCCAGTTGGGTCAAAATGGATAGACATGTTCTACGATTCAGTGGTTACTTCAAAGAGGCAGTCGTTGAATCTGCACTTGAGAATTATCGCATTCGCAAAATTACACTCTTTTATTATCTTGAAGACCATTCACTTAGTATAACTGAACCAAAATAAGAAAATAGTGGAGTACCCCAAGGAGCCTTCCTTAAAAGATAAAAAGTATTCTCTCCCAACCAAATTAGGTATTAAGAGCAGATGATTCTAAGACTTTCATATTACCTGAAGATTTCAGAATCAATCGAGATATCATCATCTTTGGTAAAACCATCCGTCTTTTTGATTGTGATCAATACACTAGAGAATTCTACGAAGTAAACTTAAATCATATCTCTAGCTATAAGGAATACCATAAGAACCATCCTTTGTACCTCAATCAGACTCATTTGAAACCAAAACTATGACTAAATTCATCCCTCAAAAAGATACAGTCATGAAAGATTACTTAGAACATAAATTAGGAGGTGGTAAAGTTACTTCTTAAAAGCAATTCTTAGAAAATGACAGAAAAGTATCATTCTATTTTTATAATCATCAGGTCCTTAAATTCTATGTGTTTTCAGACATCGAATACATTCTTCACTATTATTTGGCTGATGATACTATTGAGATTAAAGAAATCAACTCAGCCAATTCAGGCAGAGTCCCATTTCCCATGATGTTGAGAAGGTAAAAACTACCCAGAAAATTCTCACTCAATCAACCTGGATAAACATATGCAGAGGATTTCATTAGGCCACAAGATATTTAATATGGCTAACCCCTCATTATCTATAATCGCAAATTCCTCATCAATGGATGTGATTAATTCACTAGATAATACTATTTTGATAAATTCAATGTCGATTTCCCTTTAGGAGGCCAAGAAGAATATGTTCAATAAGAAAGATCCAGTATTTTCTATTTATCATTTAGATATTATAATCCCTCCACATAATGGAATTGGAGATGAACAAGATTCTCTTGGATATATTTATAGATTATAACCTATACCTCCCAAAAAGGATTTCTTCAAATGGGTTGATAATCAAGTCAATCTCAGATTCCTAGCCATGTTCAATACTACCAAACCTGAAGATAAAGACAGAGTCTTCGTAATCACCTTCTTTTTAAATGATGACAGTCTGTTGGTGTATGAACCTACTGTTAGAAATTCTGGTATCTTTCAAAAGTATTATTTTAAGGCATCCCTGATGGAAAATTCTTGGAAAAAAGAAAGTATAAGAATGTGAATAATAATAATGAATTCTTTACTCCTGGAGATCTGATTGTTGGTAATGAAGTTTAAATAAATGGATGGAGATTTTAATTGTTGGATTGTGATGAATTCACTAAAAAATGGTATTCTGAGAACTTTAAATGAACATTTAATCACATTTATGCCATATTTATTATTAAATATATTCAAATCACCTTACATTTCATATCTGCCAAATTTCCAATAAAAAACAATACAAATTTCTTATTCTTCTAAAAGAACTATTCAGCACCTGTCTCTCCGCCAAATCCCAACTTTGAGCACTTCTTTTTACTGTATTCAATCTTAATGTCTTCATATTGTAATAAACATTATTTATTCTAAATATCTAATGATATTGTAATATGAGCAGGTCTTTTCTCTTTTAAGGCTCTATTATCATAAGAATATTTACAATCTCACAGATTCTCCTATGATCTTTCCCTCTGGTTTCTAAACAGAGAAATTGATTCTACCTGTGTTACTCAACCCGAAATAGGCACTACAATTCTATCTATAGAAATAGTTGTAATTCATTAATTTAGAATGATGAGCAAATCCAACTTGCAATTATTAATTTTAACTAGTATCATATTGTTCAACTTAAATGGTAAATTAATATTTATTGGGATAGGAGAAGGTATTTTACGACACAATTACTACTTATTAATCTTATGATGTTATTGTAATGATATTTCCATTTTCGATAGTACTTTTAATTCCCTACAAACTATAGAATTGGATGGATTTCTCTAAGGATAACAATTTAGGTATCTCTTGGAGTGTTTCCA